AACTAGTTACATAAAGACCTTTTTAAAGTTTCACTATTTTCACTATTTTATTTACTACACAGTAGCATCTTCAGATCGTATACGATGATCGTGGCGGATTGTGGATTTTGGGTATACAGATATTTTAGTTGGTAGACATGGGACCCACACCAAACTTATATGAGTTTATAAAGACATTAAACAGACAACTTTTGCGCAAGCAGAATTTAAATTTAAGTTTGCGAAAAAAAGTTAGTTTTTCAGCTCGCCTCACCAGCCCCTTGCCACCCCTTATTAACATTATTCAAATTAAAGTTGTGCAATTCATAATTTACTACATTATATCGGCAAATTTCAAACCTTATTTAAAAAATCTAAGAATAACAGATTTTACACCATTTTAAATTTTTATTTTTCATTTAACCAAAATTAAAAAAAAAAATGGTATAAAATCTGTAAATCTTGGATTTTTAAAATAAATTTTAAAATTTTTTGATAAACTTTAGTGAATTATGAATAATCCTAATTAGGGGTGGCAGGGGGCTGGTGAGGAGCGCTGAAAAAACAACTTTTTTTGCAAACTTCAATTTAAATTCTGATTTCGCAGATCTAGATCTTGTTACTTTAATGTCAATATAAACTCATATAGGTTTGGTGTGGGTCCCATGTCTACTAACTAAGATATGGGTATACCCAAAATCCACAATCCGCCACAGCTAAGCTGCTAAGCATCTAAATGCTTACGATCTGAAGCTTCAGATCGTAATACGATTAATCGATTGGTATTATGATCTGAAGATGCTACTGTGTAGCGAAACAATTGTCATATTTAAATAAAATAGTGAAACTTTTAAACAGTGTAGTTTATATTTTCATAAAAGGAAATAAGTAAACTTTATATATGTTTGTAGTTTAATTGGTTTCATTATTAATAATCCTCTAATAGTTTATTCTATAATAAGTTCACACGAGCCGAAGGCGAGTTTAACGGTTTCACGAGAGCGGAATATGCAATTTCAAACGTGTTTCAGACTTTACTTTTTCTATGTTTCCAAAAAATACCATAAAAAAATAATTTAATTTGGAGAAAGTGAGGTTTAATGGGTCTAAAATTTGTTAGATATTAAACACAGATATATCGCCACCAGTGTTTATTCCGTCAACCGATGATAGAATAATTCATTCTGTAATACTTTAAGGAATATATGTCATTTCCCATTAAAAAGTGCTATTAGAACGGTCATATTCTGTAATAGGAGTAGAAAAAGCATAATATAGGTATATCAAATTTAGATGTTTGCAAATCGAAAAAAAACCTTTTTTTACAGTATCGCGAATGGTGATTTTTGGATTTAGCGCACGCAAACTACCCTTGAAAAGTTGTTGGCAATGGTCCAGAAAACAAAATTGTATTTTCTTAGCCTGTTTTATTATTTTTTTTTATAACTTGGAGTATAATATTATTATTATATACATTATATACTATATAGTATATCAGTGTATCAACGCCATTTTAATTACGAGGTTTTTTTTTTATTTAGTTTATTTAGGCACGAGCGAAGCTTGCGACATCTGACGAATTTAAACTCACTTTTTCGCAATTTATAATAAAGCTAACTTTATCCCGTGACTAAAACGATATAAAGTCACAACTCGTCAATGTAGGAGTAGATAAATAGGTTTAATAAATACTAAAGTAAATGACAAAAGTTAACTAGTTACATAAAGACCTTTTTAAATTAATTATTTCTCTTCTAAAATTTTAATAATTAAATGTAACTATTTACAGGGCGCAATAAACGTTTGTGGTTTTTTGTATCACATTTTGCTTACAATTGATCTATTAGTGAATAAAAATGTACCATGGGAAGAAGAACTTTATAAACCAAGGGATGAATAACTTCTTTAAAACATTCACACTTATATTTAATTAAAAAATTAACAGTTTTTATTAGTTTTTTAAAACGTGCCCCATGTTCCTAAATAAATTTGCTTTTGGAAATCGCTAGAGCTATTCCAAGATTAGCGACTTTGCCCCAAAACACAGGAAACAATTCTACACAGACCCTAGCATTGATTGGACTGAATGTAATTGAGTCTTGTAACAAGACTCTTGTTGAATAATAAAAATGTTATACATCATATACATATGATACATACAAACAAAAGTGTTATAAATCTCTCAAAATAAAATAAGTGTCATGACAGACAAATTCGATTGAGTGGTTCCGAATATCTAACACAAGCTCCGAAAACAAAATTGAAAGAAGTTTGGTTAAGGACATTATCGAGTTTTTTTTTAGGACCTCGCGAAGTCCTGAAAAAAACTCGAAAATGTCCTTCTATTTTATCACTAACCAAACTGCTGCAGGTAGTTAGTTATCTTAAATCTGTATACACCCCTAATATCCACCCCTAATATCCAAATGTTAAAGAAAGGTGAATAGGCGGTAATTTTTCAGTTGGCAGGAATTATCTAAATCCGACCCTGATAATAGTATTCAATTTAATTTTAAAACAACCGTTCCAGCAATGCTTTTGATTTTATGCTGGTCCAGGGGCGGACATATGACCGAGCAGTTCGGTGCAGTGTCCGGGGGCCCAGATCATATAGGGGCCCCCAGGCATAAAGAAAAATGTTAAATAATATAATAATTATTAAAGCACAATTGTACACCTACTAAAATATTTATTTAAACCGTATTTTTACGCTAAAGGTTTACACATCCGAACACCTTAAAAGGGAGTGGGAATATTTTGCAGCGGCGAAAGGACACCGTTCAAGATAATTACGATTATAAATGCAAAACCCAAATGATGCTCGAAGGGGTCAAAATGTTTTTTCATGGATAACTTGACAAAATAAATTTTTGTTGTTATTATTGTGCATTTTTCTCCTTAAAATTTTTCAATAAAATTTAGTATAGAGTCGATTTGAGGGGTGGTGAATCCAGTGCCGTGCTAAGATTTTGTTTAAAAATAATAATATGAATTCTTAAAAATTTACTCTTAAAAACTGACATAGTAGGCCTTGGATTTTGTAAAAATATGGAGTTTTTTGCTTTAAAAATACAGTTTATCAAGATCTACACTTTAAAATAAATCCGGTTAACAAATGGGTCACCAGGGCCGTACCGAGGCACACTTTTTTGGGGGGGTTGAGACGATAAAAAAAACCAACTTATTTTTTTATCGATACGTTACCCTTGCGGCCTTGAGTTCACGGTTTATTCACCGTGAATTCACTGTGAATTCACCGTGAATTCACGGTGAATTCACCGTAAACTCACCGTGAATAAACCGTCTGTTTGTGACATTTGTAAACGGTAGTTAGACGGTGAATTCACGCACTTTTCACAGTATTTTAATTGTGAATCCACCCTATTTTGGCGGTATATTCACAGTGAATTCACGGTGAATAAACCGTGAACTAAAAGGCCGCAAGGGTAGGTATATCCTATAGGTTTAACACGACTATAGCTAGCCATTATTCGTTACTGAGCAGATGAGGATTAATGTTCAGCTATGCCATTACAGACGCACACTTCCAACTAAATATTGCAACCCAACGCTATTTATAGTTAGCTCGCTTGCGTAAGCAGCCGTGAGATGTATTGAGTTAACTTGAATTCACCGTAAATTTACCGTGAATTAACCGTGAAATCACCGTGAATTTATCGCAAAAACAGCGTGAGTTCACCGTTTAATTACCGTCTACAAATGTCACAAATGGACGGTATATTCACTGCACATAAAGTTCACGCAAACGGTGAATTCACCGTAAACTCAAGGCCGCAAGGGTAGTAGTAATAGTAAAAATTGTCAGTAGTTTTATCATGTATTTAAAGTGTAGATAAAGAATGTTCTTACCTACAATTAGCATGCTCTTTCGAAGTCGATGGGATTGATTCTCGTTCTCTATTTTTTTGATTTGCTGCCAATGTAAGTGGATTATCCGGAACAGCAACAATTTTAATTGTAACCAAATTTCCACCGTGAATACTTTTCCCATGCATTTTTTTCTATTCCTTGTTAAACACAGATCCACATAATGAGCATTTTACTAGAACTCGCCCGGTCTAAAGTCTATTCAAATCCAAGCTGGACTAAATGTAAACACAATCCTCCGAATCGACCAATAAGAACTCACAATCCGAGTCACACCATCAGAATCGACCAATAAGAACAAGTTATCATGCGTCTGGGCGTTTTTGTTTTAGTCCAGCTTGGATTTGAATACACTTTAGCTTTCTTTTCCACATTAAAAAAATTAATTCCTATTTATTGACACTAGTTTAATTTAGCTTAGATAAGCTTCAACTAAATAATAATCTAGAAAAATATGACGCCGAAAATTGGGGTGCGTAAAAAGAGTCAAACGCCGCCAAAACCAAAGACAAAGCCGCGAGGCGGTGCCGACTTTGTACATGCCGCTTGTGTGAAATATAATCTTCCTTAATAAAAATAAGGTTGACCAGTACAATTTTCTTGACGGTAACAATTATAGGAGGTTACAATAGATTAAAAAATATAATTTTGTAATATGTAGGTAAAGTTTAAAAATTATATTTCATTTTATTTATTGTGATGGGTTGGTTGGTAGGGTAGGTATACCCAACCAACCGACCCAAATACTATAGATTTTGCCAACCGTGTTTGGATTTGTAACCAACTGCCAAGACTTTGGGGGGGTGACTCCCCCCCTACACCCCCCTTAAGCCCGGCCCTGTGGGTCACACTGTATATTTGAATGCTTCCAATATAGAGTTCTCATGTTATTATGCTGCATAGTTTAGACTTGTTACTTTGACATTTGTTACATGTTTAATATTTTATTTTATTATTATGTTATCTTTAATTGCTGACTTAATTAATAAAAAAGTTACCTACCCCACTAACGTTAAACCAAATTAAATCTGTAAAATTTAGGTACAAATATCTAATATTTAATCCAGATATATAGTAATATTATATTATAATATTTTATGTTGTATTTTATACATGTTACCTATTTTTTTTAGTCATTCCAATCAAAACTTCTAAGATCAAAGGACATCGTTGCTATTAGCTGCTCTTGGTGTAAAGTGTCTTATCACAACAAAGAATGTTGTTTTGACACCGACCTGATTGGGGAAGAATGCAAAATGGGTAAGTAAAATAATTGTTTTAAATCAATTGTAATTTGCAATTTAAAATATTGCATTTGAATTGAAAAAATATCTAATTATTACTAATAATTTAAAAATTATGCTGTTAGATAGTTTTTCTATTTGATTAAAATATTAAAAACAAGTAAGTACATGTACGAGGGTGGGTCAATGGTATAATAGAAAAATTATTTTGGGTACATTCATTGTCCAAAAAATTATTGCTTAAATCTTTTGTAAAAAGAAAATCAGGCAATGAATAAGGATGAAATTTTGACAGCAGTCCACTGATATATTACGGTCCTGTTAGAAATAACGAAGTGGCTCCCGTCCCGAGGCAAGACTTAAGTTCGATCCCGACTGACGTCACACACTGTAAAAAAATCAGGCAATGAATAAGAATGAAATTTTGACAGCAGTCCACTGATATATTACGGTCCTCTTAGAAACAACGAAGTGGCTCCCGTCCCGAGGCGGGACTTAAGTTCAATTCCGACTGACGTTACACACTGTAAATCCGTTTTTATTCCCCGAGCGTTATAAAATTAATGTTAAGCTGGGTGGCTCAGATGGTAGGGCGGTCGCTTGATATGCGAGAGGTACCGGGTTCGATACTACTAGAAGTTAGTTATTTATTTGTTCCTTTGTTTGTTTTAGTTTTATCGTAACATAACAAATCTTAAACTTATGACGTCACTCGGGACTGAACTTAAGTCCAGCCACGGAGCCACAGCGTAGAAACAACGCTGAGGCTCCCGTCCCGAGGCGGGACTTAAGTTCAGTCCCGAGTGACGTCATAATTCGACGTCCCACATTGTAAATCCGTACCTAGCCATATTCCGTACCTACTCGGGACTTAACCAGACTATAGACTGTAAAAATTTGAGAGAAATAAATTAAAATTTAGAGGTCGCTCAACGCAATTGTTTAATTTAGAAAAATCACGCATCTCAAATGCATTGCTATAAACAAGTAGGCATATTTCATACATATTTGAATGAAAATGGTTGAATTTTTTTTTGGTGGACTCTTAATGATTATTGTAATAAATAATGTTGTCCCGATTTCAAAAAAATTTTCATAATATTTAAAAAATATATATTAATTAGCAAATATAACTTAATTAACAAATAATTCATTCAATTTTTTTTTGTTTCAAATTCTGTAAAAACATTGTTAATAGGTCTACAAGCAATTATTCATTCACAAAAACACTCGCCCCCATCGTTAAATATGAGAAAAAAATAATATTTTAATTAACTACACTTCGCGTCAAATTTAACGCACCACTAAAAGTTTGTCACATTTTCAAAGTTGATTTTCTCGCGAACCGTCAAACCGAATTTAGTGATTTTTATAATAAATTGTAGGTTTATTCTTCGGTAATAATGCGTTTATTAAAATATTTTTTAAATTAACATTTTGAGTATATACAGGGTGCAAGAGTGATAATAAGTTTTTTCCCGGAAATTTAAAACGCCCTGTGGATTGTACCAGCTATAACAGCATATGTATCTTATAATCAAACTATAGCCACATCTTCTCTTAACATTTTGTTTTTTGATTCACCGCGTATCTTTATTTTTAAATGAAATATACAGTTAAAGATAAAAGAACTCCAGTTTAATACAAAAATGTAAAAAGAACGATTGTAACAATAACAACAAAAATATTAACAAAATCAATAAAACCAACATTAAAGAGTATCAATATAGCGTATTTCTGCCTCTACTTCTAATTACGGCTTCACATCGACGGCTCACACTCGAAACCAGATGTCTAATCTCGTCTTGATCAATGACATTTCATATTTCTCGTAGCATATTTGCTACGTCATCAAGGGAGGCAGGCAAGGAATCATGATTTCTTAGTCGTCTACCCATATTATCCCACAAATGCTCGATGGTGTTGAGATCCGGACTATTTGCAGGCCAGTCTAAAGTTTTAACACCCACCTCATGTAAGTACTCTTGCACTATATAGCATTATCCTGCATCAGTAAAAAATTATTACCGGGCGAAAGGGACAACATGCTCAAATAAAATGTCCTCGATATATCGTACACTATTCATGGTACCTTAATCTTTAAATGTATATTTCATTTAAAAATAAAGATAACCCGGTGAATAAAAATACAAAATGTTAAGAGAACATGGGGCTATAGTTTTATTGTAAGAGACATATGCTGTTATAGCTGGTACAACCAACAGGGCGTTTCAAATTTCTGGAAAAAAACTAATTATTACACTTGCACCCTATATATACTCAAAATGTTAATTTAAACAAATATTTTAATAAACGCATAATTACCGAAGAATAAACCTACAATTTATTATAAAAATCACTAAATTCGGTTTGACGGTTATATATGTATATACTCAAAACTTAAATTTAAAAGAATTTTTTAATAAAGGCATCATAACCAAAGAATAAACCTCAATTTTAAAACAAAAATTACCAAATTCGGTTTGACGGTTCGCGAGAAAATCAACTTTGAAAATGTGACAAACTTTTAGTGGTGCGTTAAATTTGACGCGAAGTGTAGTTAATTAAAATATTATTTTTTTTCTCATATTTAACGATGCGGGCGAGTGTTTTTGTGAATGAATAATTGCTTGTAGACCTATTAACAATGTTTTTACAGATTTTGAAACAAAAAAAAATTTTAATGAATTATTTTTTAACTAAGCTATATTTGCTAATTAATATATTTTTTTAAATATTATGAACAATTTTTTGAAATCGGGACATTATTATTTATTAGAATAATCATTAAGAGTCAAAAAAAAAATTCAACCATTTTCATTCAAATTTGTATGAAATATGCCTACTTGTTTATAGCAATGCATTTGAGATGCGTGATTTTTCTAAATTAAACAATTGCGTTGAGCGACCTCTATATTTTAATTGATTTCTCTCAAATTTTTACAGATTTTTATTTTCTTGTTACTCTTTGAAAACCCGAGTGGTCTCGCATAGAATTCAAAAAAAAAATTTTTTTGCATCACCCTAGTATACACCGATTCACAGTTCTGGTTCAGGTGAATATTTAACATTTCGTTAGTTTGTATAACTTTATAATATATGATGTTTCTTTTGTGATAACAATTAAATCTTGTACAGATGCGCAGCTCTGGTTCAGGTCACCATTTAAAATTTCGTTAGTTTTTATAATTGTTTTTGCTATATCATTATCACAAATAAAATCTTGGCTTTTATCTTCATCAAATTTGGGACTCTTATTTTCTATGAATTTTTAAAGTTATGTCACTTTGGTTTTATCCTTATTAAATCTGTAACTCCCATTTTCTTGTATAGATGCATAGGTCTGGTTCAGGTTAGTATTTAAAATTTCGTTACTTATTGGTGCTGATCCTTAGTATCAATAATTTCTATATCAGAGTGGGTAACATGATAACTTTCATCGTTTTTGTTTATGGTAGTCACAATATCAGGAACATTGTTATGTTTGATGTTTCTAGTCACTAAATTAATTAAACCATCAGAATTTTTTCTGTATTATTGTCGATTTCTTTAAGTGTAGCGCATACGGGGATAATTCGAACAGGGATATTATTTTTCCAATATGGCTGTAAGTCCTTGATTATCGAGAGTCGTTGCAAGTAAGTATTATTACAACCCAGGGTTACTGAATCGGTTAAAATATTTTCACTGATAAATTTTGTTATTTCTATGAAAGAACTAAATTTTTTTCCTAGGAAGCAGTTATTATAGAAAAATAATATGTTCATAAGCTCAAAAATTTAAAATAACTCTCAGAAGTAGGTTAAGTCCCGAGTCGGTACGGAATATGGCTACCGATTTACAATGTTTGACGTCAAATTATGACGTCACTCGGGACTGAACTTAAGTACCGCCTCGGGACGGGAGCCACAGCGTAGAGATAAAACAGTATCGCTTCTACTAGCGCCATCTCATTTTGTAAGAACATATTGACCTACCTCCGTATATTGACTTTTCATAGCACACTTTCTCTCCATCGTAGGAAATATTTTAATCTCATTACATATATATATATATATTTATATATTTTACCTATTAAAAAAGTGCACACGTAATCTAAAAGTTGAAATGTTTAGAAATTGAACCTAAAAATGGCGTTATTTAATTATAAATAAGATAATAATTAAACGCTTAAAAAAAAGCAAAAATGCATATTAATTGCCTTTCTTAGCTCTGAAGCCTCGGCTACTCGGATTATATTATAAAACTCTGTTGTTAAAGAGCCCAACTGGTTTATATACCTACAAAGCTTGTTAACATACAAGAGCTTGTTAACATACACGAGCTACGTATTTGCTCATTATTGCAAGATTGCATTATTTTTCTATTGATATACCTAAACAATAATGGCCACGTCTGCAATAATGTGGGAATATAATTATATTATATTCTAACGTTCACAAATTTAACTGTTATATCCAAAATGTGCAGTAGAAAAAGCTAATTGTGCAGTATAAATTAAAATCATTGCAATTATTTTTTAATATCTTACGAACAAAAACCAAATAAATTTTTATCTTTTGAAGTGTAAGAAAAACTTCAAAATAAAGTTTAATACATATATTAAACGACACTTTATTAAATACAAAACTATTCAGTAGGAACGCTGCTTCCTGACTGCCCATTTCTTCTCACGTATACGATGTGTTATAAACACACCGTCAGCATTTACGCCCGCTTCTCGTTTAGCGAGCTCGAGTTAAAGGTCTCCAAATATTTATCTTACATTCGGCCTTCCTGCTTTTGTGCTTCGTCCTCGAAAGCACTTCATTGAAAATTCTCACAAGGCTACTTCAACCTAAAACAAACTGGGCCTGTTTCAACCCACTGACACTGGTCTATTTCAACCAACGGCCTGTTTCAGCCACGGCCTATTTCAGCCAACGCCTATTTCAGCAACGGCCTATTTCAGCCAACGGTCTATTTCAACCAACGCCTATTTCAGCAACGGCCTATTTCAGCCAACGGTCTATTTCA